CTCCTCTCCTTCAGTGATCAAAATCAATTATCTCCTTTCTGATGAGTTCATGTTGGGCAGTGAAACTTGGCAAGGGTGCCCTCTTTCCCCTCTTGTTTTGTTCTCACACTAGAACCCTTTCTGTGTCATGTCAGAGCAAACCCGAATATCTCAGGCCTACTCACACCTAGAGGAGCTCATAAAGTTGCAGGTTTTGCAGATGACCTGCTGTGTTTTATCAGTTGGCCTTTCACGCCTCTTCCTAAACTTCTTGAAGAATTCCGCCAATACAGCACACTATCTAACTTCAAGATAAATTTTAGCAAGTCAGAAGTCCTAAATATTAATGTCCCACAGGCCACTATGGATGCCCTGATGTCTCATTTCACATTTAAATGGGCTCGGTAACATATCCGATATCTAGGGATCCACCTAACTGCCTCATTTATGGGGATCTGTTATGATGGGACCTCAGGAAGTGGTCCACCAAATGCTTTTAATGGTACTGGAGAAACAGTGCCCAAATATGAACATTCTCACGAGGCTGCTATACCTATTGCATACCCTCCCAATTAGCATCCCTAAGTCATTCCTCAAGCATACAAAGAGGTATTTTCTATGGGCCCACAAATCTCATAGATTATCTCACACGTTACTGTCCTATCCTAAATACTGCAGTGGCTTAGTTTTCCCAGACCCTCTAAAATACCACAAGGCAGTGCATCTCGTGCATGTTTTGGACTGGTGTACCAGCCAAGGTCTCGAATGCTGGATGCAATTGGAACAGGCGTCCATAGACACTCCACTCAGTGGAATTTCTTTTGGCTCCATTAAATCGCACCGGTTGCTCAGATATACAGCCAGACTCCTAGTAGCCGAACAAGAAGATGTCATCTTGGGATATTTGTGGTTGCATACGTCACATAGGCCACCCTCAATTCCTTCCAGGGATTACGGATTGCCAATTCTGACCTCTGCTTTGGCAGAATAAGTTTTGCCTTATGGCATTTCTTTTCTTTTCATTTCTATGGGCTGTAAATCTTTGTTGGAACTCCAACTAATGATGGAACTGTCTCTGAAAAGCATTCCAACTAAGACATTTTTTGCACAACTGGGTAAAATGGACACTTTTACTTTCTCATTTAACTCTGAAAAACTGTGCACCTCCTCCCCAATTCAGTATAACCTATCCTTATCTTATAAACTTGTTTCTCACCCACCGGACCATGTAGACCCACTCTATATTGTAAAATGGGAGTCTGACTTAGGCATCAGCTTTTCTGCAGAAAACAAGCATGATGCATTTTGCTCTCACCTAATCTCCTTCCAGCTCCCTCCAAGAAACACTCTTCAAAATTTTAACAAGCTGGTAAACTGTCCCTTTGATTCTACACAAAATGTTTCCGAGCACACCCTCCATATGTTGGTGCTGCTCCCAGCATGAGGGTACATACCTCCATATGTTCTGGAGTTGACCAGTTCTGACTTCCTTCTGAGAAAAGGTTTGTGACCCCCTGTCATGGATCCACCCCACACGCACACACCCACAGTGACTAGCTAACCAAGGCGCGTACGTGCGGCCTTGACTTGGGGTAAGAGGGAATTAGGGGTACTTAACTTACTTATATATAAAACTGGCCGTGATATACTTTCACAGCCCGCACTACCTCTTGGCCACCACTGGAGGGAGACTCCACTCCAATCCAGCTGGCTGACCACACACAGGTAGACACAAATCTTACATTCAATCTGGTGCACTAATTAGGGTTGAGGAGCAGCCTAGCAATCACACACCCTTCTAGGATTCCTCCAGCTATCCTACAAGCTAGAGTGTTAATCACTCTTCCACTATCCACACCCCCCCACACCAGACACACCACAAACGGTAGCTTGCCACCACCCAACAGTTTATTCACAGAACAGTCTGCTGGGCCACCACACACACACAGATCTCTGTCTGGCAGATCTACTACCTTACAACCTGCATGCAATCTGCCATCACACAGTGCAATTGCATACAGATAGGCAATGAACTTGACCGAGCATTTAAAAACACTAAAATACAATATAATCTAATCTCTCCGAAGATATGAGCCTGCTTAAGTACCCCAGAAGTCACTTATTAATTTTATGATTTAATATCCCAAAGTGGGCAGTGTATAACATATGTACAAAGTATAAAAAGTTACAGAAAATACAAAAAATACAAGAAGACACACAATTGACTATTCACTATAAAATAAAAGGGAATAAAAAACAGAAATAAAACTTTTACCAAGATTTATCCTACGACTGGAGCAAGTCAGAGAAAGTCCGCGATCCGCCAGTCGATAGGACGGGCTCCATACAAATCACAACGTCCATACCTCAAGTCCTCAATTTATGGGAATATGGACGTAGGCTGGACATTAGCCCTTGGCCAATTGACTCTGGGGGGTGTTCCTGTACCAGCCAACAGGACATTCTGGGTCCTGAAATGCCCAAAGTCGATTGGACCAGGAACGGTTTGAATCACCAAGTCAGGGATTGAATTTCCGACACCAGCGCATCAGTCCGATCGCGACAGTACCAATCACTGTTCAGCTGTCGCCATCAGGCGCAATATAACCATTTTCTGCCTTTCTCTGGAACCACATAGGCCACAAATATAGTTTTACATGCAGATGTAGCCTACAGAGTGTCCAATCAGAAGGAAGTATTTTCATCTCTCTACAACTAATATTTTACCTTTTATGAGAGATGAAACATATTCCTTTCATATACTGATATAATTTGTAGCTCCCAGGAAGATCGGAGCCCCCCTGGTGTCATGAAGCCGAAACGTCTGCGTTCCTCTTTTAAACTTCAGGAAGGTGGCAAAGTCTGATTATATATATATATATATATATATATATAAAATATATATATATATATATATATATAGACAAATCTTACTGGCACTTAGGTGTCACTTCCAGCCTGGAAGCTGCTCTATCTTTTCAGATGCTAATGGGTGAGCACATGTCTCTAAATACCTATGACTGAATATTTCTTTAATATCAGTTTCACACCCCCACATTCAAACTCGCTGACGTTCAGTTGCGGGGGGGTTGTGATCTGGCAGCCTATCTGCTTCACTTACTGTAACTTCTATGTCATCCAAATGTTACAAAAGGTCACTGACAATTCAGTTACTTAACGCTGCCAAGACCTGCATCCAGCTTTTCTGGAATGAACCTATTGCTCCTCTGCTAAGTGTTTGGTTACACAAAATTGAGAAAATTTACAGAATGCAAGATGTCCTTGCTTCTTTCCGGAGAGAAGAAGTTTCACAAAACATTGTTCTACTGGACTAACTATACCTTCTCCACAAGCTATATTGCAGACCTCACCACCTGAACCTGGCAAGCTTAGGCCCCTGCTCTTAATGCCTACATGATGCTGGGAGGCCACCTCTGCCTACAAGGGCAGTTGTATGAGACCCTTAGGGTCGAGCCCCTGCTTGCACTTATCCCACCTTCTTGTTTTCACCTCCCCCCTCTTTTTTCCTTTTTTCCCTTAATTTCCCTACACTGGAGGCCCAGAATTTGTTCTCTCTGTATATGTGGAAGGCTAACCCTGTCAGTGGAAAAAGGTCCCCCTTGGGAACCTTCTGGCAGTAGTTTGATACACTCTGATACATTTCTCTATACAGCTATGTTCCAGGATAGTCTTGGCGTTTGTCTTCCTTTTTCTTTTTGTGCTATTGGTAATGGGGGTTCCCCTTGAAGTCATGTTGACTTGTTTCTGTTGGTATCCTTATACCGTATTTTGTATTTTCCTAAAAAAACTTTACCAAAAGAATGTAATAAAAACAGGATTTTCATTAAAAAATATGTTGTATATAGAATTGAATTGTGATCTCAGTTGGTCTAATGTCAGACTTCCCATTGTTCCTCCTGACGAGTACCATCATCCTGATATTGTTATGAAGCCTCTTGCGTAAATTTCTTCCTTTTTTGCCCATAGCAATTTTTTATTTTGTGTACGATGCCTACAGTGCATTCCTGCACATGCTTCATCATTAGCTGCCCAATGGCAGAGCTAGAAGACACTGAATCCACAAGAAGATCAGCCGAAAATGTCAGCAGTCATAATGGAGCAATGAGGAAGAGCACAGATATTGCATATTTGCAGTAGGGCACACTAGAGGTAAGGTCCAGTATCAATGGGCTTTTGTTGATGTTAGATGGGATTTGTACTCCTGTACAAGTGTAGGGGAATGCAAAATTCACTTGAAACAGGTCAAATGCAGGTTAGAATAGTTCAACTGCAGGTCAAATGCACCTGTCAGAGAACTGTAAATGATTTTAGAAGTATCCAAAAATTGATGTCAAACTGATGACATCAACACAAGCCCAAACCCTAATGCCACAAGCCCTAAGTCTGCCATAATTTTCATGTCTGCTGTGCATATTATTACAAGAGCCTACCCACCCTAATGCTGGCCATACATGGATCAAATTTCATCTAGGGTCTTGGGTGTGGTGGTAAATCACAGACTGAAGAATTCTGAGAAGCTGATCAGGAGTATATGGTGAAGCTGAGAGTTTCCAGAAAAGATAGGGAGATGTGAGAGCCCTTATAGTGATGATTAATTCAGCAACAAGGATAAAATGCTTCCACAATAAAAGGAAACAAAAATCAAAATAGACTTACAACTGCTGAGGCTGCTGTCAACCAGCAAGGAGGGAACTTCCTGGTGCTCTGGGGGAGAGAACCTGTCATCAAGCAGAGTCAGTGTGGTTGCTCTCTATGCCATGGGCATTCTCATCATGGGTGCTCTGTGGGGTTCTCAGGTGGGTGAACAAACTGTCAGGAAGAGTCAGTGCAAAAAAAGCTAGTTGATAATTTGATTGACAGAGGTGCCTGATGTGGTTGTTCAAAGGATAGACATGAGTCGTTTGCTTTAGTAAAACATCCAATTACTTTATTTCACTGAATAAAACATGTTTTGTGGTTTTATATGACCTCTTCCTCAGTTCAAGGCGGAGTGTAGAGTTATCATCTAGGACACAGGTGTCAAACTGCTGGCCCTCCAGCTGTTGCTAAACTACAAGTCCTATGAGGCATTGCAAGATTGACAGTTACAAGCATGACTCCCAAAGGTAGAGGCATGATGGTACTTGTAGTTTTGCAACAGCTGGAGGACTGCCAGTTTGACACCCCTGATCTAGGAGGTGGATCACATGTGCCACAAACTTTACACTCCACCTAGTGGCCAGTAAAGAACATTTCCCAAGTGGAGCACAATACCAGTTGATTCTAGACACCATCTTTATCACCTTGAACTGAGGCAAATTAAAGCCATGAAACACATTTTATTCTGTGAAATAAAATAATTAAATATTTTATTAAAGCAGGTGACTCGTACCTATTCTTTGAACAATCACATTGGGCACCTCTTCTAATCAAACTATCGGCTGGCTTCTTTTTGCACTGATTCTTCCTACCAACTTTCATCTAGTTCCTGACAAATCATCTGAAATTCCAGTTGTAGGTCGCCCTGTAAGCACACTCCCGCCCGACATTCTATGATCTAAAAATCAAAGTGTGGTGGAAAGTGGGGTGGAAAACTGGCTGAACTGCACCTGCATCAAATCAAAGGGAGCCACTGTTCAGCTATTCTAACAGCTGAGTGTGCCAGCTGTCAGAATATAATAGCTGGCAGGGGACATTCCTCCATCCACCCTGTTTACGGTGGATGGGGGAAATCAGTAGAATCCACTTGTTCAACTGGCAGGGATGAACAAGAGAAATCTCAGAAGTGTATGGCTGGCTTTAAAGTGGTAAAGATAGGATTTAAGACTTATACAAGAAGATAGTATACATATAAATGCAGGATTATGACTATGGCACCTTACTTGGGACTATAACATTCCCACTGTAGCATAGGAGATGCTAAAATTAAGAATGCTGACATTGAGTAAGACTTAAACATGACTTTTTTTGTGGAACATTTTTGTTATGTTCATTCTTGACAGGTTCCCTTTATATGGGCATTTATTTTTATACTTAAAAAAAATTGTATCTTCTTTCTATAGGGTTAGTGATTCATGAGAAATCTACATATAAAATGCACCAGTGGAATGAAGCATTGCAGGTCTGAAAGGACAATATTGCGAAATCTGGAAGATTAGCAGATGCTGGGAAAGAGTCAGTTAAAGTGAACCACACAAGTGACAGATGAGAAGTAGCCTGGTTTTACAGGCAGGAAAGTGTTAACATCCTAGGAGGTGTGAAAACCACAGCTTGGGAATCCTCTATCTTTCTGTTTAGCTAACTGTTCAGTGGCAGACTATGGAGGGCAGAGATTCCACAGTCTTCAGAGGTCAAGTCAAGCCACCAGCATTTCAAGAAGGCCTATCAAAATTTAATCTGTCTGCTGTCAACAGCAACCTTCCCCAGCTGGGGTTAACTGCAATTCAAAGCCGACCTGAGATAAGAAGTCCATCCCTCAGGATTTTCGACTGATTTTACATTGCACAGCTATTCTTTTAACCAAACAACCTTGCTTAGGAGATTTGCAGGTTCCTGCATGTCAACATTGTCCTACAATTAAGACCTGGGTGCTATGTTTTCTATGACATAAGATAATCTGTCACACCTTTTCTGGGGCTTGTACATTGCCGAGGCCATTTAGGATTTGCAGCGGTGCCTTTTTTCTAGGCTTTATTTTCTTAAACCTATTGTCACAGTAAATTAGCACTTGGTGCTCTAACGCTTCTTAGGAAGGCCGATTCTCGGCTTCTTAGAAGTAAAGAGCCTCGGGGTGCATGCTAAGAGATTTATGCCTGTAATACTGTTAAGCTGTGTGGATGATGATTGTCCTTAAGGCTCGTATGGCTTTAATTCCCTGTGCACTAAAAGGCTGTGTACAGGCTACATTAGTGAACAACTACAGGCTTTGGGAAACCCAGAAATTGTTTCCATAGGAGGAGCTGCTGGGATCATTAAATACAACCATTTAACATTTTTTTACCTCCTTTCCCTGCAGTTGTAGAGGAGCTGATATGGCGTTCATTTCCACAAAAATTATCTATGTTCACCTCCTCGATTTATCAGGATTATTGACTTTGCAACTTGCGTAGAATAAATGGAAGTGGATTTTTCTGCATCATGGAAACAAACTGGGAAATTCACTAAAGCATTCAGGACACTTTTCTGGTGGTTGGTCCCTTTAAAACTATCTGTGCCTAATTCGGGCAAGCTATTGTGAAAGTTTCAGAAACAGTTCTGACAGGTGTGACAAATTCAGGCAGTTCTTACTTCAGACATTTTATGAACCTGGTCGTTATGCCTGTGACAGATTCAAACATTTAATTACTACCAGTTCAAAGTTTAGGAAACTGGCTGTAATTAAGATGAATTCTGATCTTATGTACAAAAGATGCCAGTGCTCAGAGTGGGGCATTTTGTGCTGGGAAGATCTCATGAATGTAACTGCTTTCTGCACAGGGCTCGTGGTTGCTAGGACAATGGAGACTGCCAGCTTCCTAGCCACCAATGACTTATTCTCAGCTCCATCCAGTTGCAGATCAGGAGATTTCACATGGGAGGTCGACCTGAGGGGTAACTAGTCTCTCAGTTTCCCATTTGGCTCCATCCATTGCACTACAAAACTTCTCAGCCATGTGCCTATCTGTGTGATGGGTGCAGTGACCTGGGAGTAATCTTAGTAATGCTCAGCTAAACTGAGGACAGAGTGTCTGGTATGGACACTCTGGCCCCAGTACCACCACCTCCTAAGACAGGTTCATGTACCTGTTCCTGACAGGTACATGAATCTGTTCCATGCACCAACAATTATGGTGCAGAAGTCCAGAGGGCAGAGTGGCTATGATACTCCCAAAGTGTTTTTTCTGGTTCAGAGCTGCCTAATTAAAATAAACAGTGGAGGAGTAATATCCATTTTTTTCTACTCTTCTATTTCAACAGGGCTGTCATCAAGACTGTATTTCCGGCACCCCTAGGCAAGCTGTCTTGTGATACCCTACTCCCTATTCCAGTCAACTAGCTAGCCTATTGGTATTATACTGACATCACACAGGGCATGCCTTGGTTGGAAAGGATGAAAAAAACAGTTTGCCTACACTCTATCAGTGCACCTGGAACTAATGACTAGAATATCTGTAAGGTCCAGCTACCCTTCATAAATGGAACCCTGCTCAACTTTGGCCTTGAATATTCTCCATTAAATATGTAACCTGGACTGTAGCTGATAGCAGTTGCTCAACTTATTCTTTTGTTATTCCTTTGTTGCTGTTGTATTATCCTTCTGCAGTGTAGACAGAGTTATACTGAATATTTATTAATGCAGAAATGCAGCAGCCATCTTTAGGGAGACCACTTTGAAATGCTCGGACATGGAGTGTCTCCATTGCAGGGGGCAGCCATCTTGGCTGGGTCTGGGTCAATCCTGAAAGGCCGATGATAGGCAGCTGAGAGGAAGAGAGAGAACAGTCTTGGGAGTGAGAAAAAGAGGCGGGACTGCTTGCTCAATGGAGAGACTGGACTGCTGGCTTAACAGAACCCTGCCATAGCTGACCACAATTGGCAGAGACCATGGAGAGACTGTTCACTGCACAGACCCTTGTCTCAAAGATGGAAACTTTTACCCTGGAAAGGTGTGAAGTGTTATTAAGATGTCTTTTGAATCAGACTATACACCAGAGCACTACCATCGCTTGTAAAGAAGGAGAAGAGGGATTGAAAGAGAGAAATCAGAGCAACTCTTCTTTTTTTCTGAGACCTTAAACTGAATCAGAGCACATGTCCAGAGACCCAGAAGAGGGTGCCCTGGGTCTTGTAAGAGACTAATATTGTACAAGTTATTCTGTTGTCTGCTGGGAACTATTCTATTTTCTTCAAGGGCCCCAACTTTGTGGGGCCTCTTCATTTAGACTATGCTTGGCCTAACAAATTCTTTGAAATATATCAATGTATCAAGGTGTATCAGTAAGTGCTGAGTGAGTGAGGTGTGTCATCTTCAGGTGTGCAAAGAAATCACAAGACAATTCCTCTGGAAGTAGCCCTACAAATATTTGCAACAACCACCAAGAGCTGTATCCACAAACTTTCACCCTGGTGCACTTGAAGTTCAGTTTTAGGTGTATGGACTGAGTACACCATTCCACCAGCAAAGATGCACAAGCTGCACAGGTAGGGCCTTGGTCTGGAGGCCTTTTTATACACAGGTTTCCAACAAATATTACTTACATAGTCCATCAAGTGCTACCAGTAAAAAAAATTAATAAATAAATAGAAAATCTCCATGTACAGAGCCCTATACCGACAGTTGATCCAGAGGAAGACAAAAAAAAAAACCCTATAAAGCATGATCCAGTTTGCTTCAACTGAGTAAGACAAATGACTTCTTGATCCCTAGAGCAAGGGTGTCAAACTGGCGGACCTCCAGCTGTTGCCAAACTACAAGTCCCATGAGGCATTGCAAGATTGACAGTTAAAAGCATGACTCACAAAGGCAGAGGCATGATGGGACTTGTATTTTCACAACAGCTGGGGGGCCGCCAATTTAACACCCCTGCCCTAGAGTAATTAGACTATCCTTTATTGAATAATCTGTGGTGTTATTATAAATGTTAATAGCCAGTTATATTCTGTGCATTTAGGAATACATTGAGCCTTTTTTTAACAATTAACTGAGCTGGTTAGAACTAGATCCTGAGGGAGTCCACTTCACATTTACACAATGCTTACTGTGAAGAAACCTTTACGTATGTGGATAGTAATTTATTTTCCTCCACATGCAAATAGCGCCCCCTCGTCCTTTGCAAAGACCTTAAAGCTTAAGTTTACCTTAAAAAATGCAACAAAAGCACAAGGAACATTACTTACCTTCAATATGATGTGTCCCTCCTCTTCCTTCTCTGATGCCCCCCTCCCCTGCTGCCATAATATTCAGGGGTGGCAGGGGATAATAGAAAATAAGAGCTGTCACGGGCACTCATTAAGAGTGTAAGAGTGTCCCACTATACCTGGCCTTTCCACAGGTGCAAAGTCAGCCTGAGGCAAAAGTGAAAGAAACAGAAATGCAGGATTAGTTGTAAAAAGAATGTTTTAGCCTATATAGGGTAACTTTATAAGTAGTTCATAAGTTGGAGAGGTGAAAGTGGCACCGTATACTTTTCCAGCCTCCATACTTCTACCGTTATTATCATGTCCCACTGACCACACAGCAAGTGAAATGACATTGCTTCAATGGGGACTTAGAAATAAAAATCCTGGCAGCAATTTAAAGCCTTCTGAAATCAACATAAAAAAAGACTTTCTATTGCTATCGATGTCCCCATCTGAGAAATCTGTATTCACTTTCTGCCACAAACGGAAATAAAAAACCTGATAAATCCTTATCCCTCTCCACTCTATCCTTATACCCATCTGTAGCCAAAACATAGTATTGTCTAAAGTTCTTCCTTAAAGCAGAACTTCAGCCAAAAAATAACATGATAAAAAAAGAACAGCTCATTAAAAGATAACATAGAAAAGCACATATTTTTGCAATATTCATCTTCAACCCAGAGATATGCCCACAATACTTTTCTTCTGTCACTAAATGTCCTCAGTCTCATTGCCAGCATCATGCAAATCATTTCCTCTGAACCCAGGTTGTCCTGGACCTGCCCTACCCTGTGGTTGGACATTACACATTATCTTTCAACTCCCCCAAATCCTTTTTCATTCACATTCCTAATCAATTCAGTAATAAAAATTGCATGATTAAATGATATAGGTGGAGAAATAGAATAGACCAGCCTTTTTCAACCAGGGTGCCTAGGCAGCTGGGGGGGGGGGGGGGGGGGCTCAGGTGTCTTCAGGGGTCCCTTGGCAAAATGCCTAAAAATTGCCCAAAAATTGCACACAAGCCAGCCTGCCTTTTAGTGACACAAAGACACAGGTTTTCATTTTGTACTACTACAACCTTCTAGCTGCCGGTGTCCTAACAACCAATGATGTCACCGTTGATATGGAGGACATTTGGCGCATGCGCAGCATCCATGTTTGTCCCTACTCTGCCCCTCCCTATCAAGACTGGGGTCATATTAAACGAGGGAGAGAAACAGCCAGAAAATAAACTTTGGAATACTAGTCAGTGAAAATTGCTGTTATGTAAAACTGTACGTTTAGTTTTAACATTTTAACGTTTTAACATTTAGAATGAGGTGCCTCAAGATTAGGGGTGGGTGGAAGGAAAGGGGGGGTTGGAATATGCCTATGTCTCTGCTTACCTGGAGGAGAGGGGACATATTGCTCAGCCCACAACTAGGCAGAGGGTTAAAATCTCTGCATTAGATCCCAGAGTGGAGATTCTACACCCTTATTAGTCACAATTAGGATGCACATATCATGTAAAAGTCATTTTGTTAAAAAATAACTGAATGCAAGTGTAGTGTAAAGATCAGTAAATTTGTTCTGCGTTAATATCTGTAAATCAAAATAGAAAAATCTGTATCCCTTGTCCTCCATGTTTTGCAATGAAATGTACAATGGAGTACACGAGCCACCTACATCCTAGCAATGAAGGACACTAGGTGGCAGAATCCACCTTTTCCTAGCAAAAGATGGAAGACTGCAGAAGTTGCCTGCATCCTAGCAATAGAGGGACACTAAGCAGCAGGATCTGTCTGCTTCCTAGCAGCAGAAGGAAGCTATGCGGAACTTCAGTCTTCAGTCTCCCCCCCCCCCCCCGTGCTGCCATTTTGGAACATGCACAAATGTGCCAACAGACCCTGCCCAGCCCGTCGGTTCACATCTGGACATGCACAAAGATGGGGACACTTGGGAATTTCCTGATAGCCATCTTTACACAGATGATCAGGGGAGAGGGGGTTGGGTTGGGGGGAGCTGAAAGGAGCTGGAAGCCACAGGGCTATTAGACTGATGGTAGTAGTGACAGCAGTGTCTCTACTCCTGTTATATATATTATATTATTATTATTATTATACAGTATTTATAAAGCGCCAATAGTTCGACCAGCGCTGTACATTACAAAGGGGGACAGAACATGTGACAGAACAATAACAATACAATGCAAAACATGAGGGGATCTTTCGAGCATACAATCTAGGAGGGAGGGGATGGTGGCACAGGAGGAGAAAGCTGTGGGGGACGGAGTGGTAGGAAGAGTGGAGGAGGTCAGCAAGTTAGCAGGGGGTGGGGTAGGCTTCCCTGAAGAGGTGGGTTTTCAGGGTGCACCTAAAGGAGAGGAGAGTAGGTGATAATCTGATGGGTTGGGGCAGGGAGTTCCAGAGGATGGGTGACACCCTGGAGAAGTCCTGGAGGCGGGCATGGGAGGAGGAGACCAGGGAACTAGAGAGAAGGAGGTCTTGTAAGGAGCGGAGTGTGCGTGCTGGGCGGTACTTGGATATTAGGTCAGTGATGTAGTTCGGGGCAGTATGGTGGACGGCTTTGTACATCAGTGTTAGGATTTTTAATTTGATCCGTTGCGCAATCGGAAGCCAGTGGAGGGATTGGCAGAGGGGGGGTGGCGGAAATAGAGTGGTTGGAAAGGTGAATGAGTCTGGAAGCCATATTCAGGATCAACTGAAGCGGGGATAGCCGGCGGCGAGGCAGGCCAGTAAGGAGGGAGTTGCAGTAATCGAGTCGTGATATGATGAAGGAGTGGATGAGCTGTTTAGTGGTTTCTGGGGTTAGGAACATGCGTATTTTGGCGATGTTGCGGAGGTGGAGTCTGCACGAGCTTGTTAAAGATTGGACTTGGGGCTGGAAGGATAGGTTGGAGTCCAGAATGACACCAAGTACTCTGGCCTGAGGGGTGGGTTTGATGGTGGTGTTGTTGGACATGAGGGAGAAGTCAGTGAGGGGTGGGGTCCGGGCTGGGGGGAAGACAAGAAACTCGGTTTTGGAGAGGTTCACTTTAAGGAAGTGGAGCAACATCCAATCTGATATGTCCTCAGTAGGTGTGTGATTCGGGTGGAGACTGAGGGGGTGAGGTGGGGGCTTGAGAGATAGATTTGTGTGTCGTTGGCATATAGGTGGTAGTTGAAGCTGTGAGAGTGTATGAGTTGGCCAAGGGAGGAGGTGTAGATGGAGAGAGAAGGGGCCCGAGGACGGAGCCTTGAGGGACCCCAACAGAGAGGGGGGAGTGAGGGGGAGGTGGTAGCATTATAGGTAACGCTGAAAGAGCATTGTGACAGGTAGAATGAGAGCCAGGAGAAAGCAGAATCTCTAAGGCCGAAGGAGTGTAGTTTTTTGAGGAGGAGGGGGTGGAGTAGGAGCACTGAATAGTGGCCATTAGCTTTGGCGGTTAGCAGGTCGTTGGAGAGTTTGAGTAAGGCAGTTTTGGTGGAGTGTAGGGGACGGACTGTAGGGGATCGAGGAGGTTGTTGTCATTGAGGTGAGAGCTTAGGCGGGTGTAGACTAGGTGCTCGAGGAGTTTGGATGTGAAAGGGAGCAGGGAGATGGGTCTGAGGTTGTTCGGGTCATTGGGGTCCAGGGAGGGCTTTTTAAGTGTGGGGGTGATGTGTGCATGCTTCAGAGGGGAGGGGAGAGTGCCGGAGGAGAGGGAGAGATTAAAGATGTGGGTGAGGGAGCATAGGATGGAGGGGGAAGGAGGTTGTAGGAGTTGTGAGGGGATAGGGTCGAGGGGGCAGGTGGTGAGGCGGGCATCAGAGAGGACCTTGGAGACTTCCTCGATGGTAGTAAGGTCAAAGGTGCGGAGTGTTGAGGGGGCTTCAGTATGAGGAGCTTTAGCAGCTTTAGCAGCAACCCAATACTGGGGAGGAGGATAGAGTCAAGAGGACATGCAGGCTATGCTCTCTTCTCTTCCTTCCTCTTCTTATGGTCACATGTGTCCTTTTGCACCAAGAAGAGACCCCCACATGCAGCAAGTAGGAGTTTATACTGTCCCAGCAAGAAAGGCAAGTGCCAGTCAATGTCCATGCAGCACTCCAGAAAGGTAAGTAAGAGGGAAGAGCGGGAGACAGACTGCCCACCGCACAGGATAATGTAACAGCAACTTGGAGTTGGGCATCAATAAACATTTCCTATCAGTATTTTTACTTATTTTTCACATTTCTTACATGTGGTTAGCAGGTTACCATATGAAAATGTTGTTCAGTGACCTCTGCCTTAGTTGTATAAAGTTTACATTATTTCTTCCATCAAGCGAAAGACATGTATGAGCTGATATGGTTGCAGTGTGAACTATGACACCAAGAGTGAGTCTAGTGACCCTGGCCACCGTACGTTATCTTCTCAGTATGAAAAATTAGAATGTAAAGCAGGTCATCGATTACCTTGGCATGTATATTCTGCATAGTATGTATAATAGTTTAGATAGGATCAGGTAAAGTGAACTTCTATTGATAGCCATGAAATATTACAAATGTTCACTCAGTTTACCAATATTTAGTGAGTAAAATAAAAAAGTGACATATATTCTGTAATCTGTCCCTAACATAATAGTGTATGTATAGCCATTTTTTAAATTTAGTTTTAGACAGAGTCATGAAGTGTAAGAACCCCTGCTGCTTCTTTTGTTATGTTGTCTGTGTCATCACTGCAGGGATT